AATGCTTAATGAAGAGTTAACTGATAACTAAATAATGGGAAATTAATAGTTGATTATTATATAATTAATGATTGATTAGCGACCCTTAATGTAAAGAGTTACCAAAAGAGTAATTCATTTCTGTGTGCGGCTCTGTTTTTTCATCTGGTTACAGCAGCTGCAGGCAGAGTGGTCCATCATAGAATCTGTCAGGCAGAATGTCCAGCAGGGGGAGCCACAGCCCACCTCAGCCTCTCCCAGCAGCCCCCTGGAGCTTCACTCTCACACACTGATCAGTAAAACTCGCCCTACTGATCTGGAGTGAGAGCTGGGAGGCTGCAGGAACGCTGCTGTGAGTTTCCTCACTGGTCATGTTGCTGCTGCAGGATTCCTCTCTGTAAACTGTGATAAAGACCACAGGAGAATCAGCTGGGCTTCATTCAGTGATCCACTCATTACACTGTTTTATACTCACATTTTATCCCTCAGAATCAACACAGAACCTGTTCTTATACAACACCATCCCATCATGATCCATTTCCGACTCCATAAGTCTTTAATCAGCATCATTAGTCTATAAACTGAGTCTCTTTAACATCAGCTTAGTCTATTAAACTCACAGCACTGTGACTCTGACACACTGACAGTCAGCTCAGGACATTAAACTCACATCCTGGAGGGCAGCAGCACTAAAGGAGGAAGTGAAACCAGCCAAAACCTGAGTCATCCACTTCCTCCCAGAATAGAGCAGCACTTTCAGCAGATGTTCAGCTTCCCTCCTTCACCTCTGAGCCGTCCACAGTCCAGCTGACCAGCGCCCCCTCAACACACACATCTATAAATAAGCACAAAGCAATAATGCACACAGCATTTCAGCTCTACTTCAATGAGAGGAGTAGTTTAGTGGAGCTGGAGCTCATTCTAGTCCTACTGTTCATGTGTCAGTGGTGGAGCCTGAGTGTGGTTTAATCTAGAGCTGAACACATGATGTGTGTGTGGGATGTGGGGAAACACTCAGTACTGCAGAACCAACAGTGCTTTAGATTTTCTCACATCTCTGATTTCCATCAACACTTTATATCAACATCTCCTCTAAACATGCTGTAGATGTTTTCACACACATTTCACTCTCATAACTGGACACAGTGACTCTTGGTGTGCAGTAATAATATTATATAACACTTTATAAACTCTGTGCTGCCTCTATAAACACTAATATCCCTGATTCATGAAGTGATGATGCTGTTGTTTCATTCTACATTTCTGCCTCATTAAGTTGATGCTGGAGAGACCAGATCAGGACTGTCCAGTCTCAGGGCAGCAGAGCTGCGTTTACAGGACAGTGTGGGACGGGAATTAGTTTAGTTTATTCACCTTTATTTAATAATAGACAGAGTGTGTCAGGGATGCAGAAGGAGTTTTAAATAGAGGCCAAATTTAAACAGCATTCATGTGATGTGACTGATGATGTCATTCAAAATGATTTGCATTTTGTATTAGATTTTTCTTTTTTTGCTAATTTACATCAAACAGAACGTGTCATACAGTGTTATAATGATATAACTGACACATCAAACCACTGAGGCACATCGTCACTCTGCTCTCTCGCTCTGGACGAGCTTAATGCAGATGAACTGAGTGGTGACCAATCAGATTGTTGATGTGTGGAGCAGTTACTGATTGTGTCGTCCACAGTCACACACTGAGATTTAACACTGAGACGCTCACTGAGTGGAGATAACGGTGGATAATAGCTTCATTATTATGACAGATCATTCTTTTTAGGTTTAAATAACAACATTAGGCTGCTTTGGGTCTCAGAACTGACCTACAGCTCTGACCAGTCTTTCTCTCTTTGCAGCTCAACCTGAGAGTGTTTGAGCGACGCCCCTCAAAACGGCCAGCAGTTGTCAGCAGTGATGAAAACATGACGTTCACTTTTAAACAGTGTAGAGATTCTGCAGGTTTAGAAAGATATAAAGAACAAACTCCACTCTTAAGCACACATGAGTCTTTACTACACTCACATTATTATAAAGTTCAGAACATTTTATTATTATTATTATTATTATTATTATTATTATTACAGTTGCAATCCTGGAATCAGGGGGCGCTGCAGCCCCCTCTGCACCCTCACTTCCCGCGTCTCTGGTACGTGCAGGACAGTATTGTTATTAATCTGCTGTAAACATGAATGAGATCTAATTACAGTGTAGAGATCAGATTCAAACACAGCTCATGTTTAAAAATGGAGTGATTTAAAGAAGCTGTGCAGGTTTGTATTCAGTAGTGAGGACTAAGATACTGACTGCACGATATTTCACTACATTCTGAACATTTAGGCCACTTTTAATAAAGGTTTACAGGCTTCTTCTCCAAATTCATTAAGATTTAAGATTAAATTTTCCTCTATTTATCAGTTTTTATTGTTTTCTATAGTCAGACTTTCACGCTCCTCTTCAGCTCCACCATGAACACGTTCAGCTGCACTGAAGCTCTAATGTTGTTAAACTAATCATGTTTCCTCAATGACAGCCTTTATTAAAAGTGAGTGAGCAGATCATTGGAGTGAGGCATTATGGGAAATACATATTCAATATTTGTACATATTTTATACAAAAATGATAAAACTAAAAAAAGAGAAAGGAATAAATAATAAAAGGCTATTTTATGTTTCTCTCTTATGGAGGACCAGATTTGCCAAAATGAAAAATAAATAAAATTAAAAATAAATGATTTAGTAAATTAATATATGAAGTAAATTGCAAAAAATAATGATGATAAATCTAAAAATAAATAAATATACATAACAATTAATATATTAATAAATAAAATCTCATATAAATTAATATGTCTGCATTTATTTATAAAGTTATTTATTAATATATATTTAGTAATTTCCCCTTCTCACTAATTTATGCATTTATTTTTTTGTTATTTATATGTTTCTTTATTAACAGTTTTTCGGTTTTTCTATCAATTTATTCTATTAATTTATTTCCATAACTATTAATTTCTATATTTATTTATTTCTCTATTTATTTCTGTATTTCCTTGTCCTTATGCTAATATAGGGGCTGTCAGTCAATGATGTCACAGTGTCTTAATATTCCTATTGGTTGATCGATGTCAGATTCTGGAGATCAGTTGTACATATCTTGCTCTCTCAGCAGTAACTCAGGACCAGACAGTACAGTTATGGCTGCTCACAGCAGCAGACAGTCAGAGATCTGAGAGTCTCGGCTGATCTGGCTGAAAATGCAGGTCTGGATTATTGACTCTTCTGTTGGAGGCTGCGGGGACAGTTTGCTCCATTTTGCTGCCTCTGCTGATTCAGAGGTCGACCACGTAGTGTTCAGAACTTTGGAGGAGGTGGTTCAGCGTCTTTTACTGTAAAATTCAGATCACTCAGACATTTGGACGCCCTTCTCACTCACTGCCTGTGGAGCCATCCAGAGTTATTTATCGGCAGGTGTGTCTGTTCGTGGCACTGCAGCTCTTTATGAGTGAAAGAACAGTTTAATCAGCTCTTCTCCTGGTCTTGATTGCTAAGCCTGAACGTGAAAAACATGCCCCCTCATTATCATACGAAGGAAGAAATACAGAAATAAATAAAAGAATTAATGAAAAAAAAATAAATAAATGAATTAATGAAAAATAAATAAATAAATACATGAATCAATGAATAAAGCGAACAATTGTTAAAAATATAGATATGGAAAAATGTAAAAATGGCATGACAAAATGACAAACACAGTCAGTTTCAGTCAAAAGCAGCTGATTGCAGAATAAAGACAGAGATTACCAGACAGTGTGTGTTTTATCTGCTTTTACTTTGATTCACATCAATAAAATATTTTAAAACTCTAACAAAACTTCTAAACCTATGATCATTTTCAATAAATTTAATAAAAAAAAACTTATTGGAAAAAAAACTAAGTTTTATTTGATGTTAACTGTACATGCATAATATTCATGTAAAATCCATTATAATATCTGTGTATGAATCAAACTTTAATATAATTAATTTAGCTAAAAGTACAAATTCAGTTGTATTATTTAATTTTTCAGTGTTATTGTTTCTGTATCTTATTCAGTGTAACTCACAGCAGCCCACATCCCACTGAGACCCCCAAACTCATTACTGAGTACCATTTAAACTCCATTCAGAATGATCTAGAAGAGTGGACAGTGTGATGTGTTTGACTGGGAGCTGAAGAGTGAGATGAAGGCTGCTGTTGAAATGCAGTGAAATAATGGGAACATCATACAATCTCAAACTGAAATGTACAGCAGTGAACAGCTGTATAATCTCCATTTATTCATTACTGCATTATTTTATTCATTTATAACTGAATCCTGAATCATTTCTGTTCGTTCATTCTCTATATTTACCAAACTAACATGCTAATAAAGTCAGTAAATGTTTCTCTTTCCTACAGAAATCATGACCTGCAGTTCCAAACGCGGCCACACGAGGCAACAGATTCCACTGAGCAGCTGTGGGGAGCTCTGGAAGCGCGCGCCGGTTCTGGACTATCATTCAGATCCAAACAGAGGTTCTCCTCAGTTCGGTTAACGGTCAGGTGGTGCTGGTGTTGGTCAGCAGCGCTAGCAGCTCTATTTCTACTGTTTGTACCTTTAACACCTTCTGTAGGTCCTGTTTTCATTCTCTCCCTGAATCAGTTCAGGGAACTCACAGTTTAAGAGTCTCAGTCAAATTAGTCTTCATGATTCATTATACTGATCAGTTCACTGCAGTGTTTAGCCTGTAAAATGAGGACTTGGCTAAATTGAATCATGTAGGTAAACAGCAAGATTGATTTTAACTTGCAGAAAAAAAAAGAATGCATTACACATTGTGCATTTTTAATGCTGGAATCAATATGATATTTTCATTATTCTTTAAAGACAGATTGGCTCTGCTATTCAGCCAGGTATCTGCAGAGAGCTCTGGCAAACATCAGTCAGCCATTTTTGACTTGTGAAAAATACCACTTCCTCTTGTGGAGACCAAGATATCCAGCCCAAACCGGTTTAAAGCGAAAGCGAGATCTTCAGGAGCACCATTTTGTGAAGAAAGGATCAAAAACAGCATTTGGAAAGAAAGAACAGAGGTAATAACTGAAGTTTTAACAGCCTGGGCTTAATTTATGATGTGATCAAGGCATTTAAAACACACAGAGAGCAGAAAATAACTTTGTACTCAGAAATATATTTCAGACATCAACTTTGAGGTGAAGTTAACAAACAGACGTGACTGCTTCTGCGTGTTTGGGGGGGAGTTAAAGTTGGTTTTATGTTCACATGTTGGGATTTCTCTCCTCAGAATCTTTGAACGGTGCCTGTAAAAGGTTTAATATTCACATATTACTGTTGTTGTCATCCAGAACAAGCAGCTCCAGTTTGGTTTAGGTGTGAAATGTATCGAGGAACTCGTTGATTTCTATGGGCTGCTGTGGCCTAAGTTAGGTCAGGGACTCAGCCTTATGAGGCACAGTAGGCCTTTCAGCAGATCACAAAAGATGAGCAGTTAGAACTTTTACAGCTTTATTTATAATTATTGCTCTGTTAACAAACATAAACTAGCAAAAAACAACACTCATATGGAAAAGAATATTTGGCCATGTATTTTATGTATTTAAATTATATTTCAAATAAATTTCAAAAAGAAAAAAAATATATGGACATCTACTTTTTAAACATTTTAAATACATTGTAACCCATTCTGAAAATAAATGTATGTAAATTTACCTTTACTCATTTATTTTTAAATATTAGCAAAAGAACCTTTTAACATGACAAAAGCAAGTGTTGCAGGTATTAATACTCTGTGAAAATGCAGTTATGATATTTTGTTCATTTGAAATACATTTTGATTGTCTTACCGCATGAATACATGGTTAATGCAAAGTACAATGCAGAGCACACAAGTGAGTACCGTTCATTCAGTTCATGGATATTTTGTTATATTTGTCACACCTTGTATGCAGGTGAGGGTAGATACACTAGATTTCCAAAAGTATTCAGTCACCCATCTAAATCATTGAACTCAGGTGTTCCAATCACTTCCATGGCCACAGGTGTATAAAACCAAGCTCCTAGGCCTGCAGACTGCTTCTACAAACGTTTGTGAAAGAATGGGTCGCTCTCAGGAGCTCAGTGAATTCCAGCATGGTACCATGATAGGATGCCACCTGTGCAACAAGTCCAGTCATGAAATTTCCTCGCTACTAAATATTCCACAGTCAACTGTCAGTGGTGTTATAACAAAGTGGAAGCGATTGGGAACGACAGCAACTCAGCCACGAAGTGGTCGGCCACGTAAAATGACAGAGCGGGGTCAGCGGATGCTGAGGCGCATAGTGCGCAGAGGTCACCAACTTTCTGCACAGTCAATTGCTACAGACCTCCAAACTTCATGTGGCCTTCAGATTAGCTCAAGAACAGCGTGGAGAGCTTCGTGGAATGGGTTTCCTTGGTCGAGCACCTGCATCCAAGCCTTACATCACCAAGCGCAGTGCAAAGCATTGAATGCAGTGGTGTAATGCACCGCCACTGGACTCAGAGCAGTGGAGACGTGTTCTCTGGAGTGAGGAATCACGCTTCTCCGTCTGGCAGTCCGATGGACGAGTCTGGGTTTGGCGGTTGCCAGGAGAACGGTACTTGTCTGACTGCATTGAGCCAAGTGTGTTTTTCAGGAGTTGGGCTCGGCCCCTTAGTTCCAGTGAAAGGAGCTCTTAATGCTTCAGCACCAAGAGATTTTGGACAATTTCATGCTCCCAACTTTGTGGGAACAATTTGGGGATGGCCCCTTCCTGTTCCAACATGACTGCGCACCAGTGCACAAAGCAAAGTCCATAAAGACATGGATGAAGGAGTTTGGTGTGGAAGAACTTGACTGGCCTGCACAGAGTCCTGACCTCAACCCGATATAACACCTTTGGGATGTATTAGAGCGGAGACTGCGAGCCAGGCCTTCTCGTCCAACATCAGTGTCTGACCTCACAAATGCGCTTCTGGAAGAATGGTCAAAAATTCTCATAAACACTCCTAAACCTTGTGGAAAGCCTTCCCAGAAGAGCTGAAGCTGTTATAGCTGCAAAGGGTGGGCCAACATCATATTAAAGATTTAAGAATGGGATGTCACTCAGGTTCATATGTGTGTGAAGGCAGACGAGCGAATACTGTTGGAAATATAGTGTATGCTCTGACAAGGTTGTGAGTTGTGAGAAAGAGGCAATGACAAACCACAATAGAACATTCAGTTTAAGGGTGTTTATTTGGTGAGAGGTGTGGAAAAACCAAAAATGTTCACAAAAAAGAAGAAAAATAATAACAATTTTATATATATATATATATATATGAACTTTGAGGAAGCAAAAATTGCCTTCAAAATACATTGGCTCAACAATCAACCAACCATCTCCTCTCTCACACAGAAATGCAGTGAGCTCTTTAAACAGACATCCACTGGTCTGCTCCACCCAGCACATACCAGTCCTTCTCCTCTGCAGGGGGAAACAATAATAACCATCAATAAGTGAAAACAAAATCCAAGAAAAGCTTGATCACAAAACGATTCTTGCATCATAAGCTAAAAAACACACAGAAATAACAAAATCAAATTAAATGAAAAAATAAAAACCATTTCAAACTATATGAACCCAATGAACACCCCTCCAAATGGTACACTCCAACAGGGTTCTACTGAACATATCTGACTTTGCCCAGGCATTATTTAAGGGCAGCTAAAACCAAGCTTGGGCCTTTTCCCAGACCAGGAAGTAATGCAGCTAATGTCAGTAATGTATGTTATAACTCTGCTGTTAGTATCATGATGTAAAGTCCAGTAGTGTACACACAACTAAAAATCTAACATCAAATACAAATCTGTTGATTTCTTGGCCATTTTTATACATTGCAAAATATACTTAATAAATAGATTTGAAAAAGTAAAAATATATTTAACAAATACATTTTGGCCATTTTACACAATGCATAAATACATTTGGTACATACATTTGGAAAATATTGTTTCTCTATATGGGAATAATGGAAAACACTCCAATATATGACATGACTTGTAATTACAAAGTTGTTGGACTCACTTGACTGAATTAGTTCTTCCATGTTGGACGGAAAAAAAAGAATTCTGAATAATTTTTATGCGGTAATGAATTTGCAGCACTAAGTGAAAATCATGGACAAATCTGGAAAGACTCTCCCTCTACATCACATAGTCATATACAAACGTCTGGGCACCACTGATTGTAATACCTTTATCAGAATGCACCAAACATTATTATACATAATACATTTACATACAATACAACAGGATTTATGATATAGTTTGCTGAATTTTGGATGTTTAATTGCAATGCTCCAGAAGAACTTTATTAAGTGCAGCTCATATGATGTACTAAAACTCTTATATTAGCAAACGTAACTTTGGCCAAACTCTAGTGACCGGTGTGTGTAAATTAATTTCTGTAACTTTAGGTCGGTTGAATATTTTGCCCTGAAACAAGCTGTACTTAAACAAGTGCAACCCACATGACGTACTTCACCTCTTTTTCTTTCTTTGTTTTATTTGTGAACTAATTTTAATAGCTTTTCAACATTTGACAGTATTGCTCCAAAACAAGTGGTATGTAATAAAGTGATCCTGACGCCACATGTTAATGGCCCTCATTACCGAATGGAAACTTTTTGCAACATAACTGACTAAATTAAACATTTTTGGACTATTTACACCAAAAATGACTGAATAACAAGGTTGAAACCTACATAACAGGGTTGAATTCGGAGATTATGTTCCCCATTTGGTTGAAATGAATGCAGTTTATAAAACATACAACATGTACAACATAGAGCTTAGTTTCAAGCCATTTTCATTTTTATTTTAAAAATTGGGTAAACAGGGTTGCAAATTTAGCCTTAAGTAAGTAAGCAGCATTCAGTAGTGGTTAGCTTGACATACATGGACACCCCTGATCTATATGTAGTGTATGTGACAACGTATTTCTGAAACATAACCTCTTTCTCAGCTCTGTCCTTGTCTTGTTTTCCCTTCTTATTTTCCTTCTGGAAACAGCAAATTTGTTGTAGATTATCAGTAGGGAAATCTGGAAGTGTGTGCCGGCTTTTGGCCGTCATTCAAATTCAAATCTCATATATTTAAACCTTTCCTTGTGAGTGGTTTGAGAAGCCTACTGAAAAGACCTGGTTCCTTTAATCCAGGAGTCCAGTAGCTTAGCTTAGTGAGGGCCTTAAAGAAAATACAAGCGCTATAAATTTCTATGCATCAGTCATCTTACATGATGGTGAAAATGTTTCCAATTTTTGTTCAGAACATGTGTTTTACTTTTCTAGTCACACTTCAGTTTTGTACAGTTGAAGAAAGTGCTGTGATCGGTCGAGCAGCTCATCACTCCGCCCTCTTCAACCTGTACAAAACTTCCAGCACTTCCTCCTGTGATGCCTCAACCGGTCCAGCTGGTTTAAAGGGAAAATACAATTTTCAGTAGCATCCATCTTGTGCAGAGAGGATCAAAAACAATGTTTGGAGGGAAAGCACAGAGTTGATTACTAATAGCTACCAGAATTTACTGTCTGAGCTGATGTGTACAAATATTTTAGACGTGGAGAGACAGAAGATATGTAGACTCGACTCTGTGTGTGTGTGTGTGTGTGTGTGTCCGTCCGTGTGTGTGTGTGTTCAGGATTCAGTGTGATCTGAAGGAGGAGAGATGTCCTCCAAAATGAGTCTCTCTGAGGAACAGGACACACAGGAAGCTGAGAGGTGAGAGAATAATGTGATCTGGTGTAAAGTGAGTTTGTTCTCTAGTTCACCACCATGTAAGACAGTTTGTCTGGTATTGTCTGTGTTTTAGACTGAATCAGGGTAAGAGGTCAGACCCAACTGAACCCAGCTGTGTGTCCATGAAGAGTGACCAGTCAATGGGCAGATTCATGCACTTCAGAGATGATAACAGATCTACTGAGTTCAGGTAAGAATGATGTGAAACTGAAGAGTGAGATTAAATAATGCTCCTACTTTCTCTCTGAACCCCAGTGTTCTTTAAGGGAAATTTGTTCAAAAACTTGAAATTTCTGGCAGCTTCTGTGTAATACATTACATTACATGGTTCAGGTTTAGACCAGTTCATGCACACACACATTCATACACTATACACACATTCACACGTACACATGTACATATATATATACACACACAATTTATATAGTGAAACAAAATACTTGTACTTTAATTACTTTGAAGATAAAAAAATCGACCTTTAAAGTACGTATTGCAAATTTCAACCGCAGAGATTTTTCTGTTTTTCTTGTCAATCAGTGAAGTTCATCGGCATTAGTCTGCATTGTTTTTATCAAAGCATTGAATAAAATTCATATCAGTGTAAAAGTTATCTGCCCACAGTTATTAATAGCTGCAGTTTTTCTTCTTATCATCATCCTCATCACATTCATCATTATATGAGATATTTTACAAAAAATATTTATAGCAACATGCAAATCAGAGAGAACTGGCATTTTATATGGAATAACAGAATCTGTACATTGAATATGTATCAGAAATTATTATTATTATTAAGTGCCGTAAAGTTGTTTCTGACTCCTGGCGCCATATGGATAGGGTATCACATTATGTCTGTTAATAATGTTTGTTTTAATATTGACATATAAAGGATATCATGAGAACATGTTAACTCTATGTACTTTATATATACAGTTGCATGTATAAATTGCTACAGGGCTCAATTTTAATCCTTGACACCATAAACACACACACACACACACACACAGAAAAGTTCACATGTCTTATCTGGTATTGTTTGTGTTTTAGACTGGTTCAGGGTAAGAGATCTGACTCACCTGAACCCAGCTGTGTGTCCATGAAGAGTGACCAGTCAATGGACAGATTCATAGAGATCAGAGATGGTCATAGATCTACAGAGTTCAGGTAAGAATGATGTGAAACTAAACAGTAAGATTTAAAGATGCTCCTACTTTCTCTCTGAACTCCAGTGTTCTTGAAAATGGTTCATAGGCTTAAAGTTTCTGACAGATGAAACAAACAGAAGCAGCACAGTGATAAAAATGTTTCACTCCATTCTTAGTTCATTATTCTGTAAAATATATAACCTTACATGGAAAATAACAATATAACATATTTAATAGCACGAGTCTTCAAATACATGTAACCTGGAAATTCTAGCAGAACAAATATTCTTTGGGCCAGACCACTGAGTCATAAAACACTACCCCCTAGACACACACACACATACATTTGTACTCAAATTTCTTGAAATTAAATAACTTTTTCTGGTTAGCCAGTGAAGTTCACATCTATCTGTCTTTATTGTTTTTATTAAAGCATCCAACCAAATTCGTATCAGTGTAAAATGAAACTTCACACAGCTATGCTGATTGTTTTTGTTTGAGGACGGTTATTAATAGTTCCTAATTTTTCTAAACAGAACCATATAATTTCATGGTCTAACAGGCCTCTATTTCCATCATATTTGAATCAGAAGCTGGAGCACAATAATATTCATAGCAACATGCAAATCAGATATAACTGCCATGGTAATAGATAACAAAATTGAATTTTTATACTGAATATGTATCAGAAAATCATTATTTTTTTGTTAATATTGTTAATTTTTGTGTTTGAATATTGACATTAAGCATTAGGTATCATGAGAATATGGCGTACTTTACCCATGTTTAACGTATAAATTGCTGTATGTAGGCTGTAAGAGATGTGGTTGGGAATGATGTAGTAATAATGATGCAATAAAATTGTTTTCAAAAAAAAGTTTTACAAATTTTTTGATGGAACACCATAAATGCTTGACATTGAAAAATTGAATAAGTTTTCCATACGTCAGCAGAAAAATGAAATAAACTGAATGTTAGCGCTCATTTGCATATTCAGCTGTAAATTTCTATTTCACCACAGGAGTCATCAGCTTCCTCTTTCTCCAAAATGTGTTTACACATGAGTTAAATCTTCCGTAAATACATTATATAGACAGTGCTGGTTATGAAATTTTGACCCAGATAGCAATCAGTCAAAGAATCAACACTTAATTAACGTTAGAACGTCAATGTTAATGTCACTGAATCAGTGACTGTAGAACTATGTATTTTGTATATCTGTTACAGTGTTTATAACTGAAAGTTCAAATGACTGTGTTGTAATGTATGAACGTTATAAAAGTGCTTTTCAGGTTTTAAACATTAAAAACGTCATATTTGTTGAAAAGAGTGCAGGAGGAGACATCAGAAACTACCAGGGGAAACATGGAGCTCTTATTCAAGGTGTGTATAACTAAATGAGAACAGGTCACTGCAAAAATTATTTGGTGTTTTAATAAACTAACCTGTATGCCTTCAAAATTTTGATTTCACTGAAATTTATATAATAAGTTAACAGAACATAAAATACACAGATTATTGTTCTGTCAATTACATTTGATACTAATTAAACTGAAAATAAAAAAAGGGAGCAAGAGTACTTATTTATTGTTTATAGTGTATTAAGATAATAATTTATGATATTTGCATTATTATATTTTAGGCTAGTTTTATTATTATAGGATAACAACTTATTGGTTAATATTGGTTAGAAAAACTGATGTGCATTTTATTTTGTGGTAACATGCAGTAATTCTTCTTTATCCCTCATACAGTGTTATACAAAATCATATATTAATCATATATTACTCTACTGTGAGCTCTAAAAGTGGTTTATGCCAAGTAAACACATCTTGGAAAAAAAAAAATTTATGCTGGTTTTATTTTGTTTTTTATGTGAAGCATTTTGCATAGCCTTTGTGTATGAAATGTATTATAAAAATAACCTTTGTTTTACTTGCTATACAATAATGGCTAACTGGCTGACAGGCGTCTAACAGGCATCTATTTCCTTGACCATTTGTTTTAATCAGGAGGTGGAGTACAAAGTATTGTCTCTGGTAAAGAGTCAGCTGAAGAGGTTTGTGAAGCTCCTGAATCAGGATTACCCAGCATGCTCTGAGAGAGAGGTTGAGGAGGATCAGCGTGTCAGAGAGGGGGCGCTGAAGATCACACTGCATGTCCTGAGGAACATGAACCAGACAGACCTTGCTAACAAACTAGAGACCAGTAAGAGATCAGAGTCATGTGGTTATTAATTATGTACAATAATTTAAAGGGTTTAAATTATGATGATGATATAATGTTATTAATATTCATCACTGGCCAATAACTGTTATGGTTAATTTAGTGAATATCCTTTTGTAATGTTAGATTTTGTTTGAAATAATACTAAAATTAAATGTTAATATGTATTTTTTTCTCTTTTTATGAGAACTGGCTCCCTCTTGTCATCAAATGTTTAAATCCACACTGAAAAAAAAATTTCAGAAAATTAATGAAGGAATTTCAAATTCTGGAACCTCAACACTTCTGAAGGAGATCTACACAGAGCTGTACATCACAGAGGGTGGGAGTGGAGAGGTCAATAATGAACATGAGGTCAGACAGATTGAAACAGCATCCAGGAGACCAGCAACACAGGAGACGCCCATCAAATGCAACGACATCTTTAAAGACAAACCCATCAGAACTGTGCTGACTAAAGGAGTCGCTGGAATTGGAAAAACAGTCTCTGTGCAGAAGTTCATTCTGGACTGGGCTGAAGGAAAAGCCAATCAGGATGTTCTCTTCATATTTCCACTTCCTTTTAGAGAGCTCAATTTGATGAAAACTAAAAAACTCAGTCTGTTGGCTCTTCTTCATCATTTTTTCACAGACATAAAGGAATTAAAACCCAGAGACTATTATCACCATAAAATCATGTTCATCTTTGATGGTCTGGATGAATGTCGACTTCCTCTAGATTTCCAGAACAATGAGAGTGTATTTGATGTTACACAGTCAGCCTCAGTGGATGCGCTGCTGACAAACCTCATCCAGGGGAATCTGCTTCCCTCTGCTCTCCTATGGATAACTACTCGACCAGCAGCAGCCAATCAGATTCCTCCTGACTGTATTAACCAGGTAACAGAGGTACGAGGGTTCAGTGACCCTCAGAAAGAGGAATACTTCAGGAAAAGGATCAGTGATCAGAGCCTTGCTGAAAGAATCATTACACACATGAAGTCCTCAAGAAGCCTCTACATCATGTGCCACATCCCAGTCTTCTGCTGGATTGCAGCCATTGTTCTAGAGAGGATGTTGGGTGAAGCAGAGAGTGGAGAGATCCCCAAGACTCTGACTCAGATGTTCACACACTTCCTGATCTTTCAGATCAAACACAGCAGCCAAAAGTACCAAAGAAAAAATGACATTGATCATGAGCAGACTAGAAAGATAATTCTGGCACTGGGAAAACTGGCTTTCCAACAGCTGGAAAAAGGAAACCTGATCTTCTATGAGGAAGACCTGAGAGAGTGTGGCATTGATGTCAGAGAAGTGTCAGTGTACTCAGGAGTGTGTACTCAGATCTTCAGAGAGGAGTTTGGGCTGCACCTGGGGAAGGTTTTCAGCTTTGTGCATCTGAGTGTTCAGGAGTTTCTGGCTGCTTTATATACGTTTCTTCACTTCATCTCCAACAACAGAAACGTGCTGCTAAAGCAATCTATTGGATTTTTTGGTTTCTTTAAAAAGTTATCAATGTCTGACTTCCTCAAGACTGCAGTGGACAATGCCTTACACAGTGAGAATGGACACCTGGACCTCTACCTCCGCTTCCTTCTGGGTCTCTCACTGGATTCCAATCAGACTCTCTTACGAGGCCTAATGACACAGACAGGAAACAGCTCTCAGAGCACAGAGGAAATAGTCGAGTACATCAAGGAGAAGATCAGGGAGAATCCCTCTCCAGAGAAAACAATCAATCTGTTCCACTGTCTGAATGAACTGAATGATCATTCTCTAGTGCAGGAAGTTCAAACATACCTGAACAGAGGATGTTCCAGTGGTCTCAGTGGAGCTAAGCTCTCTCCTGCTCAGTGGTCAGCTGTGGCATTTGTGATGCTGAATTCAGAAGACGAGCTGGATGAGTTTGACCTGAGGAAATTTGACCCATCAGAGGAATGTCTTCTGAGGCTGCTGCCAGTGGCCAAAGCATCCAGAAAAGTAGTGTGAGTATTTAGTTTTCTTAGAGTTCTTTAGTTTTTACTGTTGTATACTTATATATATCTTAATGAATGTTTTCACATTCATTAAGATATAGTCGTTACCATAGGTATGTAGTGGTATGGGTTGTTTTTACTGAAAAGATAAAATCCCAAGCTGCATGATGGAATCAGATGTGTGCATTTAGTTTTTTAATGATTGGAAGCATAACACAGATTGAGGTATTCACAAATGTTTTATTTGATCAAATCCAGTTATATTCAAGAAACAGCTACATATGTAGAGAATTTATGGCCAGTCTTGTATTTTTTCTGATATGGTGACATTTTTTATTTAGTGTGAGATAATGATTTGTATAGATTGTTCTGTATTAGGAAAACTTCCTTCATTATTTGCGTGTATGTTATTGTTAATCACCTTTTAACATTTAAATATGTTTTTTTTTGTCTCTACAGGCTGCATGACTGCAGTATTACAGAGGAAGGCTGTGCTGCTCTGGTTTCAGCTCTGAAATCAAACCCCTCACACCTAAAGGAGCTGATTCTGAGCTACAATAAACCAGGAGAGTCAGGAGTGAAGCTGCTCTCTGATCTACTGAAGGATCCATACTGTAAACTGCAGACACTAGAGTGAGTTACTGCCTTCCAAACAAACAAACAAACACACATGTAAATATACAGTAAATTAAGTTAGCAAATGATGGTCCAGGAAAAACAAAATCAATTACCAGCCTGTGGAATGCTACAGTAAAAACAAATATTTCAAACAATTTTTGGTAGTTGAATTTTGAAGTGACAAGAATTCTTAATCTTTGATGCATAACAAAAAAAGCCAACTGTCTGCTGTCTCGTGCTGTTAATTTCTTAAAATCTGGCTTTCTTTTAGCTACCACAGTGGTGATAACTTTGCTTAACCCCTTACTGTATCCAATGTCTAATTCACAACTTGCATGTAATATCCCTAATTGCTAGCAACCTTTAATCAAGTTTAGCCTATATTCATTTTATTTAAGCTTAACTTCAGAACTCTTAATGTTGTGACATTCGATTGATTTTATATATAATCAGTGTTAAATTTGCCTTATGTATGTTACTTAGAAATCTGCATTTTTCTTTCATGATGATTGTGTGAGGGTGAGGTAGGTATTTCAAGACAGATGTAGCCCAGGGCTACATTCAGAATTCCTGTGACCCTGCTTCTGATATGTTGATTTTTTTCTCTGCATTTGTGTGTTAGAGGAATAGAGGTGTTGTTTTTCATATACAGTACAAGTTGCTGGGTGAACTTTTGCTGAGCTGTTTACTAGTTTTTGTTTTTCTTTCTACAGATTGTTTGGCTGCAGTATTACGGAGGAAGACTGTGCTGCTCTGGTTTCAGCTCTGAAATCAAACCCCTCACACCTGAGAGAGCTGAATCTGAACTACAATAAACCAGGAGACTCAGGAGTGCAGCTGCTCTGTGATCTACTGAAGGATCCATACTGTAAACTGCAGACGCTACAGTGAGTTACTGCCTTCCAAACAAACACACATGTAAATATACAGTAAATTAAGTTAGCAAACGATGGTCTAGGAAAAGTAAATAATCAATTACCATCCTGTGGAATACTATGGTAAAAACAAATATTTCAAACAATTTTTGGTAGTTGATGGTGCCTGATAAATTTTGAAGTGACAAGAATTCTTAATCTTTGATGCATAACAAAAAAAGCCAACTGTCCGCTTTCTCATGCTCTGTTTATTTCTTAACATCTGGTTTTCATTTAGCTACCACAGTGGTGATATCTTAGTTTAACCCCTTACTGTATCCAATGTCTAATTCACAACTTGCATGTAATATCCCTAATCGCTAGCAACTTTTAATCAAGTTTAGCCTATATCCATTTTATGTAAGCTTAACTTCAGAACTCTTAATGTTGTGACATTCGATTGATTTTATATATACATCATTGTTAAATTTGCCTTATGTATGTTACTTAGAAATCTGCATTTTTCTTTCATGATGATTGTGTGAGGGTGAGAGAGGTATTTCAAGACAGATGTAGCCCAGGGCTACATTCAGAATTCCTGTGACCCTGCTTCTGATATGTTGATTTTTTTTCTCTACATTTGTGTGTTAGAGGAATAGAGGTGTTGTTTTTCATATACAGTACAAGTTGCTGGGTGAACTTTTGCTGAGCTGTTTACTAGTTTTTGTTTTTCTCTCTACAGATTGCCTGGCTGCAGTATTACGGAGGAAGACTGTGCTGCTCTGGTTTCAGCTCTGAAATCAAACCCCTCACACCTGAGAGAGCTGAATCTGAACTACAATAAACCAGGAGACTCAGGAGTGAAGCTGCTCTGTGATCTACTGAATGATCCACGCTGTAAACTGCAGAATCTACAGTGAGTGTATGTGTGTTTTGTGTGGTGAAGTGAGTTACGCAAACAAACATACATACATATATGCATGTTAAATAAAGTTGTTTTGTAGATGAATTTGTTTTACCCATCTGTTTGTTTTCCACAATGTTGTGTTCATGTTCAGTGGTAAATGTGAGGAGTTTCTTCTCTCTACAGGCTGGAATTCTGCAGTATTACAGAGGAAGGCTGTGCTGCTCTGGTTTCAGCTCTGAAATTAAACCGCTCACACCTGAGAGAGCTGAATCTGAACTACAGTAAACCAGGAGAGTCAGGAGTGAAGCTGCTCTCTGATCTACTGCAGGACCCACGCTGTAAACTGGAGAAACTACAGTGAGTTACTAAATTAATGCTTTTTTTTACACACACTCTCTCTCTCACACACACACACACACACACACACATAAAAGCACACCAAATGTACAGCAGTGTCCTTTAAACCAGGGGTTCTCAGCCTTTTCCACATCAAGGTCCATATCTTTATCGCTAGAATGCAAGAATGTTCACAATGAAAAAAAAATGCTTAAATATGATCTTTAATTTTTAAATGCTGACACAGCAAATTTGAGAATTATGATCTGCTTAAAGATCAAATTGCTCATTTGTGATCAATCACAGAAATCAAAATTTAATTTTAAAAAATTAAAATTAGAAAAGTGAAATGTTCTGAAATGAAAAACACAACATAATTAGACCAACTTTTAGTACACAATTTCTGTTTATTGGCTGAGTTTGGAAAAAATAAACCATACAATTCAAAACATGCTTTATTTTTTGCGTAGGCAACATTTTATGTTTTATTTTCCACAGATATGTTACATTCAGCAAATAAACGGAAATTGTGCATTAAAATGTGCAGAGATATGTCAGATTAATTTGGTGTCAGATTAAAGGCCCATCATCATGAGAGTAGTCTCCACACACCATCAGTATAGTGCATCTCTGCCATTGATTTTTATTCAGGGTTGACTTTGTTTCCTGTTCTTGTGAAATGTTGTTTCATTGAACTTTTTGTGCTGGTCTTATCAGTCTGATACTGATTGAAGCTACTGTACTCTTACTGAATTCTTAGTCTTCAGAACATAGAGTCACTACCAATATTTTGATATATTATCCCAAAGTATTAGTTTAAATAATCTATGTTGAACAACAGATTATTTTTTTATTGTTAGACCTAAGCAATTCCTGTCGAATATTCTAGAATGACTGCATGAAGTTAAAAATTAATATATATAATGTATTTCAAAAGTGACAATCACACTTCGAGGCAGCTGACTTGATCAACCATTCCCATGATTAGATAGTTATGTATTATTTATTTTTGAATGACTTTTAGTTTTTGCCAGAATACTATGTAACAAGAGAATAATTGCAAATAATAATATTTACAAAAACATTTAAAAGGACCTTTGGTAGTCTAGCTTAGAGACTTTAAATATGCATTGTATAATGTATTATAGACAAAATTGAAAAAATGTAAAATATGAAAAGTTATTCCAAGCTTTTGAGCAGTGTTGGATGGATATATATATATACTCATGCTCTGTATCAGATGTCCAACGCTGTGCCTCACCTGCATCCCTGACCCTCTGGATGATACTGCCGCACAGTTTCAAACTATTTAATCATAGACATTATTTCCTTTTCCTCATTTTCATGCAGACAAATCATCATTGCAGGCTTCTAACAGTACTCATTGATGTCCATGTTTTTTTCTCTTACTGTAATTCACTCCTAACAATAGTCACTGGTTTTCCCTGGTAACAGTGACTGATTTTTATTGATGTATTTCTCATTGTTACTCTGATAGGCCTCTAACAGTAGTCATTGGTTATCATTGGTTATCATTGGTTAATCTCCAGGCATCTGTCTACCAGTTATACACACAAAGTTTGATGGATGTGAAACAGAAATGTGATAGTCACTACTGAAAATACCATCAAACTATCTACATTAGCTAACTGCACTGTTGAAACATCATGCAGGTGGTGATGTTAGTGTAGCTATGTTTCCTCATATCATAACCCTCTTTTTAACTTAATTTAGTATAGAATGAGCTATTTTGTGACTTAAAAAGCTTATACATAAAGCCCAATACATTGTTACACGGACATACAGAGAAAGTCTGTGCTGATTGAAAAATTAAAAATTTGTGCAGTGATAACATATTTGGCACAAATACCAATAATTATAGTTAACCATCTACAAAGAGTTTACCATTTTAAAAGTATGTTTGCAAGTATGGGGGTCTTTGACTTCTACATTTGTCTGTACAAGTATTGAACTGTTTTTTTCTCTCTGCAGGCTTGAATTCTGCAGTATTACAGAGGAAGGCTGTGCTGCTCTGGTTTCAGCTCTGAAATCAAACACCTCACACCTGAGAGAGCTGAATCTGAATTACAATAAACCAGGAGAGTCAGGAGTGAAGCTGCTCTCTGATTTACAGAATGATCCACACTGTAAACTGGAGAAACTACAGTGAGTTACTGACTTTTTGTGTCTTTAAATATGCACATACACAAACATAAATAGCAGATTAAACAGACCTAAAAGCTTCAAATGTTCTCTCTGTAGGATCTGTGACTCTTCAGAATTAAGTGAGCTTATTCTAAACAAGAAAGAAATCTCAGCTTCACTCAGGAGTGAAACACGTGAAATATGCTATCAGTATCAGCATTAATGTAGCTTACAAACACCAGGCACAGCCAAATGAGATCAAATGTTTAAAAGATAATGTCTGCACTAGTACAGTGATCACTTTGATGAGTTTGTTTTGCACATGCCATATACAAAACAAAAAAGTTAAGAATTAATAAAATATTTATTATATTTTTTAAAGCTTAGGCATGTGTAGGAACACATGAATGAAAATCTGTTGCTCACACATTTTGGCATTTCTAAATTTGTCAAATCTCAATATATCTCTTAGCAATAAGAGAATATAATGCTAATGTGTGATTAAAACACAGTTGGGTTTTAAACAAAAATAGTGTACAAAAACATAATAATAAATAGAATCTGAAATTCCTTAAATATCTTACACACAAATAGAAAAGGAACATGTAAATGAAACTCTCTCCAGTATGTCCTGTTTACTCACCTTCCTCTACTGTTAACACTCTGCACTGACTGAACTGGACAGACTTGTTGGATATGAGAGTAATAATCCCTGAACATAGATCCCCAACAGCAGGAAATAAGAGAATAGATTTCCCTTCATAAAATGGATGCAGACTTTGCTGATTTTCTAAGTGAAAATAAGTTAACATTCTCTACAAAAAACAAACATTTATTATTATTTATAAATTATTGTTATGATTTATTCATTTTATATGTTAGTGTGAAGACTTGTTTAAAATAATTTTAGCTTTCATTAATATTGCATTATTAAACTGAAATGTAAATATTTCATTTATATTATTTGATAGGACAGATTATTGCATTATGTTTGTGATTTTTTTATGTTTAATATTGGCCTCAATATTTTTCATCACCCAGAAATGTGAACCTCAATATAAAATATGGTGTTTACAACATTTGGTCAGGCAGTGGAGCTGGACTTTAATTCAGCTCATCTTTAATAGTTTTTAAAATGAAATAATTTTTAAAAATTATAAAAATACTTTTACTTTTATTCTTATTTTATTGTGATAGAACAGTCAGCAGCATGTTGCCAGCAAAATGATGTTAATTTTATTGTAATTTACTGTGATAAACAGTTTCACATCTCAGGCTTCCAGAGTGAATAAGTTCAACTCTGCTGATCTTGGACAAACAAATCCTCAACATAGTGAGGAGTGAGCAGTTCTTCCAGTAATATGTTTAGAAGTGTGTAGATATAAATCTAGCTTATCTCTCCTTTAAAATCAACTTGAAATGAAAATCGCCCTTTTTTACATTGTTAGTTTGTTTCTTTGGTCACATTAAGCTCAATCCGTTGTCTCATATCATTCAAAAAACAAAATTCTTGTTTCTCTGTAATCTGTGATTGAAGTATAGTGTTTTTTGATGCCTCTAAATGGCCTCTGATGTTTAGTTGCATCACCGTGAGCCAACGACATATACCAACTAATAATATCTTAGCATGTTTTCCCTTCCTCTCCACAAACCTGACCAATCATCAGCGAGAACACCCGTCATCACCTCCGCTGCAAGCTGCATATACATTAATGTCGGTAGACAACCTCCTTTCTTCTCTCTCACTTTCAGTGTTTGAGGTTGTAAAATAATCACTTATGAGTTATTTCAGCTCATTTACACTGAAACCCGTGTTCATGTTAACAGGAGTGAGGTAGTTCAGATATCTGGCAGTGTTTGCTCTGTTTTCTGATGCACTGTGAGGCTGTGAGGGGGTCAGCTGATGATGGGACAATGTATACATACATACATACACACACACACACACACAGTCCATCTCTTACTGAGATGACAGGTAAATTACACTCATACACAGATTTATTTAACCCTACTTCTTTTTTCCTGAAGTCTTCTTCTCTTGTTTTTGCCATTAAAGTGTAAGAAAAGCGAGAGCAGCACGGATGCTAACAGGCTAGCAAAGTTGCCTTGTAATTAAATTCAGTATTTAATGAATCGTGTTTCAGAAACTTAAGAAAATACACATCAAAAATATGGTAGTACTTCCATTTTTTGACAAACATTGTTGTTTTATGTTTCCTTTTGCTCTGTGCCTGCTTTTAAACATCCAGTCAAATCCTAAAGAATAAAATCATGTCCCATCCGTAAATACAGATGCACAAGAACAAGTACATATTTTTGTTTATTTTTATTTTTCAGTTATTAAATATGTTTGTTGTGACAGTAGCTATTACTGCCTCACACACTTAAAATACAGTACTGTGGGAGTAATAACAGTTCTAATGTTTAATGCATGGATGTGTGTATCATCATTAGTCATTTGTCTGAAAGGTTAAGTTTGTTTTCTCCTGTATGGGAGAGCAGAGTTCAGTCCCAGTGCAGAGAAGCTGTCACTGGATTCTGACTGGTTTGTGCTAGTATTGCAGTTACATCTCTGGTGCTGTGAATACCAACAACAACATTTATTTGTGTAGCACTTTTTACAAGCTTTTCAGAAAAGCAGTTTATAGAAGGGTTATCAAAGGAATAAAAAGAAAATAAAAGAAAAATAAAAAAGATTCTCTGTATAGACGTAAAGAACTAAATCCAGGTCCAAGCCCTCCATGAGCAAGCCAGAGGCGACAGTGGAAAGGAAAAACACCCTAGGAGTAAGAGGAAGAAACCTCAAGAAGAACCCAAGCTCAAGGGAGGAAGCCATCCTCCTCTGGTCAACCCCAGATGAAGAGAGAATGACATCGCTAACAAGATTTTATAAGTAATGTAAAGTTAGAACCATCTCATAGGTTCTCTGTCAAAGTGAGAGATAGGGTTTATGATCAGTGCCAGATGCTGGTGGCTCCACTGTGGTAATTCTAGTCATGCAGGCTGACGAGCAGGAGAGCATCATCAGGTCAGGCAGGAGGGACAGGTGATCAGCCAACAGAGCTGGAGCTCTGGAGACTCTAACAGCTCTGGTGGCTCCCATGTGATGACTCAGGCAGCGTTGCTCAGGGGCTCAAATAGAGAGAGAGAGAGAGAGAGAGAGAGAATGATTTTGGAGAGGGAGAGAAAGAGAGAGAGAGAGAGGGAATGATTAGCAGGACAAACAGGTAGATATTGCATCTTGTCATAAGATTTAAGATCAAGCGGGAGGAAGATAGAAGGAGAGAGGCAAACAATTTGTAAGTTAAGTCCGTTTGTGGAGAGATGTTAGAGAGTGATAATGCAAACAACTGATATGAGCAAAATGCTTGTGCAAACATATAGTTTTGAGTCTAATTTTTAAGGTAGAGAGTGTGTCTGAGTCCCGAACGGAGGTCAAGAGATGATTCCACAATTTCAGGGCAACATAGGAAAATGCTCAACCACAAGCTGTGGTTTTTCTAATTCGAGGAATATTTTGTGAGCAGAGCGTACATGTGGGTTTGTATGACTGAATTAATTCAAGATACTGCAGGGCCGGGCCATTTAATGATTTATACGTTAAGAGGAGAATCTTACACTCAAAATTTAACAGGTAGCCAGTGTAATGATGACAGGATTGGGGATATATGGTCAAAATCTTTGGTCCTTATAAGGACTCTAGCAGCTGCATTTTGGACCAGTTGGAGCTTATTTAGTAACGTATTGGAGCATCCAGCTAAAAGGGTTACAGTAGACCAGCTTGGAGGTTATAAAGGCAGGCACCAGCTTTTCTTCAGCATTGTTTAGGGATGGAATATTACGTAGTTTAGCGATTTTACGGAAGTGAAAGAATGTGGTCCTAACAATGTTGCAAATGTGTTTATCAAAAGAGAGACTGGAATCGTTAATGATGCCTAGATTTTTTACAGTAGTGTTTGGAATGACTGTATGGCCATCTAAATTTAGTACAAATTTGGAGAGATCTCTCTGCTTTGGGTTCATGTAGTAGGACCTCAGTTTTGTTTGGATTAAGAAGAAGAAAATTGTCAGTCATCGAGCTTTTGATATTTTTAACACATTCTTCAAGTTTTTGGTTTGGCAGATATGTAGAGTTGTGTGTCATCCACATAGCAGTGAAAACTAACACCGAACCTGTGAATTATGTTACCAAGAGGTTGCATGTACAGAGAGAAAAGCAGCGGCCTGAGCACTGATCCTTGGGGGACCCCATTTTGTATTAGTGTACGATCAGAGTGTTTACTGTTAACACTGATAAATTGATAACGGTCAGTCAGATAGGATCAGAACCAGGACAAAGCCTGTCCTAAAATACCAACCAGATTTTACAGCCTATCAAGGAGGATCTTGTGGTCGATAGTATCAAATGCTGCACTGAGATCTAGAAGAACTAGTATGGAAATATGGTCATTATCGAGAGACACAAGATCATTTACTACTTTAGCTAATGCTGTTTCAGTACTGTGAAAGGGTCTAAAGCCAGACAAACATCTCATGGAGAGAGTTTTCTTGTAGATAGGAGCACAGAAGATCTTTGCAATAAAGGGAAGATTAGAAATTTGTCTATAGTTGGTGAGTTCATTAGGATCAAGATCTGGCTTTTTAATTAGGGGTTTATTGACTGCGAGTTTAATGATTTTGGTACCCCAGGCTGAGGGACAAATTTATTATAGAGAGCAGAAGTGTAACAACACAGGGGACAATCTGTTTGAACAGTGTTGTATGTACTGGGTCAAGAATGCATGTTAATGATTTCGATGAGCTACTCAGTGTGACATTCATTTGTTTGGATAGGGCTAAAAGAAACAATTTGGCTAGTGAGGGATATGAGGTAATTTGATCACCATTACTCTAATGATGTATTTATCACAGAAGCTCATATCATGATAATGAAGAAAATATGATTTATCATGCAGCTGTAGTGCCTGCACAGTGTGAGTTTTTAGTTAAAGTAAATAATGTTATTGATGCTGCTTTACAAAAAACATCTGATAAAAATCAGGTATGAGATATAATGATGTATCTGATTATTTCTCTTCTGCCTTATTTGAGTGTGTGTGTGTTTTCTTGACAGCTAATGTTATAAGTTTATAATGTGTGTTACTCATAACTTAATCTGTCCTGCTGTGTTTTATTTTTGGTTGTGTGTGTTTGAGATGTCAGTGTTTCTGTCTCAGGGTGTGTGATTGTGATCTCACACAGAGATAAGCTTTATTATTGATTATTGTTTTAGATCTAGTTATTGTCATTATAGAGATGAAGAATTAGCTGATATAAAAGCTCTGAAAGCTCACACTTAAACACTCACATAATGAGCCACAATCATATGAGAAGAGAGAGAGAATGCTTTTCAAGGTACATCTTCTATATATTTACCATTAATATATTCATGAGAAATATATATTAATTTATATTTAGTCTATATATAGAATATCACTGTGCTGTGTGCACTCTGCTTTTTAAGAGAACGAGAGGAGTATATCTGATTGTATTTCACTGCAGCATGTCTAATCACGCCTGTTTTATAATATATTTATTTTAAACTCACCCATTTTTAGCTGTTCCCCTCTGCACCAGATCAGCATCTGCACCGGTAGACACAAAAATAACAACAATAGATCTGACACATTCTCACACACCAGAGCCATGATTTTATAATCTCTCTTTGTGGTTGTACTGTGACCATGAAAATATAGCAGAGAGAGAGAAAATATGCTTGAGTGAGTGTGAGAAACAGAGAAAGAGGAAGAGCTTGTACATTATTGAGAGAGAGAGAGAGAGAGAGAGAGAATGTGCATGCATATATGAGAGAGAGAATGTATGTGAGGGATATAGAATGTACATGAGAGCCAGAATGTACATATGTCTGTGTGTGAATTTGGTTTTATTTGGAATAATAGTTTTATGTAGTGCTGTAGTGAGTGATACTCTGATATTCTGTTCTTCTGTGTTTGTGTGTGAGATGTTTATGAATGTTAATAAAGATGTGAGATTTTCTTCTCTCTACAGTCTGTCTGGCTGCAGTATTACAGAGGAAGGTTGTGCTGCTCTGGTTTCAGCACTGAAATCAAACCCCTCACACTTGAGAGAGCTGAATCTGAACTGGAATAAACCAGGAGAGTCAGGAGTGAAGCTGCTCTCTGGTCTACTGGAGGATCCACACTGTAAACTGGAGAAACTACAGTGAGTTACTGAATTACTGTTGCTGTATAAACACACAAACACACCAACAGAAGATGTTATTAGAATGACATAAAAAGCAGAGATGGAATGTAATGAATAACCATTACTCTCATTACAGTACATAAGTGCATTGAGTTTACCTTTAGAGTATAATGACATCATAATCTAATAAAGTATTTTTATTTCACTTTCTGTGAAAAACAGATTTATTTTTCACTTTCACACAGACAAAATGCCTCACATGAGAACCGAGTGTGAGTGTCACTCACCAGAATTTAAATTTATATTTATATTTGTTATGCTGTAAAATTCAGATCAACATTTTATCTGGGATGTGTTTCACAAAAGTTTAGTTGTCTATGTTGGTAAGTTCTGTAGGAAGAGCTGTTGTTAGCAGTGGTGGACAGTAACAAAGTAACTGTAATTCGTTACTGTACTTTAGTTTTTTCATGTATCTGTACTTTACTGAAGTATTTCCATTTTGAGTGACTTTTTACTTTCACTCCACTACATTTCAAAGTCAAATATTTTACTTTTTACTCCACTACATTATGCAAAATCTGTCGTTCCTTTTGGCTTATGTGTGTATAAAACCATAACATGTCAAAACGAAAGAAACATGAAGCAAGAACACCAATCAGGGCACAGCGCACACTTAGTTTTGAGCTTGTTTTGACCTGTTGGACATACCTACCCAGTGGGACTCTTAACCTAACTTTGTGTAAATAGACCACAATATAGAAATATGAACACATATGCAGTTGAGACTGACGTGTCTTTTTTCTGAATTTATACAAACATTTTCATTTTATAGTAAATTTGTTTTTGCTGGTTTATGTTTATGAACAGAGACCTATAGATGCAATATAGTAAAGGAAAACTCATTTGTGAAGCTTTGTTTAAAGCAAGTTTTTATTAAACTTAACTCATCTTAACTGAAACTTTGCCACATGGTTCTACCTAATGGAAATTGTTGGCCTTCAGTGTTTTGTGCTTATGATAATTTTGATAGACATCAGCGTCAGACTAATTAATGACATTCTATTAAAAGATTGGTTTACCAAGAGTGACACTAGAGTATTTTCACCTAAAATGAGTTAATGAAGCAAGACTCTTCTTACAAAAATGGTAATAGGACATTAGAGTCATAATTAATCTTTTAGTACTTCTATTTTCAATACTTAAATACATTTGAAGGCAAATACTTTTATACTTTTGCTCAAGTGGAGGTCTAAAGGGAGGACTACTACGTTTACTGGTGTAATACTTTACCTTGGGTATCTCTACTTTAACTCAAGTACATGATTTGTGTTCTTCGTCCACCACTGGTGGTTAGATGAGTGAGTGTTTCAGAAAACCTCAAAGAAACATTCACAACAAGCATCACAGAGCTGAGTAGTTAGCAGCTTAGTTTCTTTTTAGTTCCTTATGAATAATGATCCTGGAAGTCTAAATCAAACAAGGCCCCCCTTTCTCCCTGCATCACTCAATGCGATGCTAGTTAGTGCAGGCGTCTGTTAGCTGACATAGCAGATCTGACGGTTGGCACTTTCCTCCGAGTGCGTTCGGCTGTCCAATGACATTGCATGAGCGGCAGTTCAAAAAAGATGCAGCGGTGCTTCACAGGTCTCGGAAGAAGCCTGTGCTAGCCTTTGCCCTCCTAGCGTTGGGGGCATTGTGTGATTGGGGGAGTCCTAACTAGTGGGTGGAATTGGAGATGTGAAAATTGGGTAAAAATAAAAAAAAAAGAAAGAAGGAATTTATTTAGAAAATTATGACATTAATAAATAAGTTCTACACAACTTGCGGTCATTTTTGTTTCTATTTTCGCTTGTAAAAGTAGAGACAGCTGCAGCTCACTACTTGTCAAAGATTCCACTGCTCTGCTTAGACTAAACAGACCATTTCTATCAAATCATAACAATGCAGAAAACATCTGATACACTCAACACATCCAATTACTGCTTGTTATTGTGTGAATTACATTACTTGTTGAACAAAAAAAATGAAATAAACACTTTAACATTAAGATTCTCTCAATCATTTATTCTGCATGATTGTTCAGATGCTGACTAATATTTTTACTGTAATACATTTACAGTTCTATGTATTTGGTTAGTGTAGGATTTATACAGTTTTTAGTATCTAGTTTTACTAGTTTGCATCCATTTACTGAAAAGCTCTGCTCCTGATGTGAGCCCTTTCAACACTGTCAGTAACTAGTACTATGTATGTAAAAATTGTGTACATATATTTGTAGTTTTTTTAACTTAAAGTTTATGCCCTCTTTTTTGAAACTCAAATCTTCTTATAAACATGACCATTAAATGTCATTCAGAGCTATTTCTTATGTTTATCCTAAAGACAACTTTAAAATATTTGTTACCATTTTTACAGCCCATACTATCTGAAGTTCAACATCAAATTATTATTATTGTCAAGTTATCGGTATCCTTGATTACTAATAATCGGTACATATTGGTTGAGACCTACAGTAAAACAAAGGTAAAAATATAAACCACAATGTTTTATTCATTTTAATAAAAAAATGTTATTATTTGTAATTCATTCTTAAATTGTCCCAAATTTAATATATTGTAGATAATGGGACAGTGTTGAAGATCTTCATTTTACAGTGAAAAATGAATCTGATATGATTACATTGAGAAATGTTAATGTTAACTCTAATATACATCTTTTATAGTGATTTGTTGAGAGAGATGTTTCTGGTGCTCAGTTTCTTGAAAATAGAGAAGTTGTCTTTATCTTACTTTTATTACACTAAATGTACCGAAAGTATTTTAGTGCTAAAGAATATCAGCAGCTCATGAGGCACAACTAAGACTACATATTACAGAGGAGAGCAAGAGATGAAGTGAGAGAAATGCAACAAATAAATGTAGGAGGTATAAGAAACAGAGTGACATGAGCAACAGAGGAGTACAGAGAAGAAGTGAAGGCAGGGAGAATCCATCAGCAAGAGCCTGGGACAGTTTGTTTACCTTAGGAAGATCAGGTCTAATATTAGTTTTGCTTACAATCGTACTACAGTTACCACTGAAATAGTAAAAAATCTAAAATAAATAATATTGTGTAAAGTTATCAAGTATAGCTTGAAATATAGTAAAGACTGGGATTAAAATATTTCCGAAATTACACTGTCTCAAATGACTTAGCTTGCTGCCCATGTGTAAAAACATGAACAATATGTATACTTGATATTTATTTAGAAAAAAATGCTAACAACTTCCAATGTATATTTGTCCGCCTAAATAAATATAACTATACAATGAAATATACTAAATATTTATTTAGAAACAAAATCCCAATAACTTGCAACATATATTATGTTATGGTTACTTTGAATAGACAACCAACAATACTAAATACTATGGGTCTGAATCCTGCATTTTCCACATCATTAACACAAAGCAGTGTGTTGACACGATAAGCTATCAGTGTCCATATGACAGCTGCACGCATTTGGATCTAAAATGCCTTTTTAATGTAACCTAAACAGCATTATTTCAATTATAAACAATATTTTCGGAATGTAGCAAATCTCTTTACAAAGTAAAATCATGTTAAGTTATTAAGCAAATATTGAAATTGACGTCACCCAAGAGAGAATGAGTGTTGAAGGTTACAGGCATCAATTGGTGGTAAGATTTTTCTAGATTTCCTAAATCTTTTTATGATATTATGATGTTTTGTATTTTTGATTATATTTTGCTAATAATATGCACTGTAGAAAGTGAAGTACCTAAAATCCTTACAGTCATTACAGGACATTAGAGGAACAGTTGAACTTTTTGCTGAGGCATTTTTTTATCATAGTGGCAAGCTTTGATCCATCCATCCTCATCAAGAACTTTGGTCCATCCATCCTCATCAAGCCTTTCCTAAATGCTCAGCTTTTAGCCAAGCATAATAACATCACCTGTTTGAGATGTTTTTTGGAAAAATTCACAAACTGCCTAAATTGCCCCATCCCAACTTTACAGGTACAAAAACAATGAAGTTGATAAGATAAAACAATATAATTTCCTTGTACTACTGTAGCTGTATATATCACTGCATTTTCGAGGTGTCTGTGTTTCTGATAGATTATCTTTTCTCTCTCAGGCTGTGGGGTTGTGATCTCACAGAGAAAAGCTGTGCAGTTCTGTCCTCAGCTCTCAGCTCAGAGTCTTCAAGTCTGAGAGAACTGAACCTAAGTGGGAATAAGCTGCAGGATTCAGGAGTGAAGCTACTCTCTGCTGGACTGAAGAATCCACACTGTAAACTGGAGACACTGGGGTAAGATCATCACTTTCTCACACACACACACACACACACACACACACACACAGACAACTGTGAGTGGCAAAGTATGTGAACCTTTGCTTTCAGTGTCTGGTGACCCCCTTGTGCAGCAATAATGGCTTGGTGGAATTTTAGCCCATTTCTCTGTACAAAACAGCTTCAACTCTGTTATGTTGGTGGGTTTCCTCCCATAAACTGCTTGCTTCAGGTCCTTCCACAACATTTCTATAGGATTAAGGTCAGGACTTTGACTTGGTCATTCCAAAACATTAACTTTATTCTTCTTTAACCGTTCTTTGGTAGAACAACTTGTGTGCTTAGGGTCATTGTCTTCCAACCTGACATTTTCTTGAGTTACATCTCAGAGCCAGATGTCCTGAAATTCTCCTTTAGAATTTGCTGGTGTACTTCAGAGTTTATTATTCCATCAATGATGGCAAGCCAACCTTGCCCAGATGCAACAAAACAGGCCCAAACTATGATACTACCACCACTGTGTTTCACCGATGTGATAAGGTCAAAAAAATCTATTTTGGTCTTATCTGTCCATTCCAATAGCCTTCTGGCTTGTCCATGTGATTTTTATCAAACTGCAGATGGGCAGCAATGTTCTATTTGGAGAGCAGTGGCCGTCTCCTTGCAACCTTGTCATGCACACCATTGTTGTTCAGTGTTCTGCTGATGGTGAATATTAATATTAACCACTGTGAGGCAGGCCTTTAGTTGCTTAGAAGTTACCCTCAGTTCCTTTGTGACCTCATGGACCATTGCACACCTTGGTGTCATCTTTTTTGGTTGACCACTCCTGGGGAGTGTAACAGTGGTCTTGAATTTCCTCCTTTTGTACACAGTCTGTCTGACTGTGGATTGTGGAGTCCTTTTGTGGAGACTTTTTCCAGCCTGATGAGCATCAATAACTCTTCTGAGGTCCTCAAAAAGTATTGTGAAGATTAGATTGTGATAGATACCTGTTCTTTAAATAAAAAAGGGTGGTCAGTCACACCTGATTGCCATCCCATTGATTGAAAACACCTGGCTCTAATTTCACCTTCAAATTATCTGCTTATCCTAAAGGTTCACATGCTTTTGCAACCCACAGATATGTAATATTGAATCATTTTCATCAATAAATAAATTACCAAGTCTAAAATTTTAATTTCATTCATTTATTTGGTTCTCTTAAGCTACTTTTAGGACTTGTCTAAAAATCTGATGAAGTTCTGATCTAACCCCATTTCCAAAAACATTGGGACACTGCAGAATGTAAATAAAAATAGAATTAAATGAAATTCAAATCATGTAAACCAAATTTTTAAAGGAAAATACTACAAAGACAACATATCAAAAGTTGAAACTGAGAAAGTGTATTGTTTTTTGAAAAAAAAAAAATATATGCCCTTTTTGAATTTGATGCCAACAACACATTCCAAAAAAGTTGGGATGGGGCATGTTTGCCACTGTGTTCCATCACCTCTTCCTTTAACAACACTCTGTACGTGTTTGGGAACTGAGGAGACCAACTTCTTTAGTTTTGAAAGTGAAAAGTTTTCCCATTCTTGTTTGATATAAGATTTCAGCTGCAGTTAATATGGCAGTTTGCCATATTTTTCATTTCATAATGTAAGCAATGTTTTCAGTGGGTGACAGATCTGACAGATTGGCATTGTCTTGCTGAAATAATCAAGGCCTTCCCTGAAAAACACATCGTCTGGATGGCAGCATATGTTGCCAAAACAAGTATATATCATTCAGCATAATGGTGCCTTCACAGAAGTGCACATCACCCATGCCCTGTGCACCAATGCACCCCTATACCATCACAGATGCTGGCTTTTGAACTGTACACTGATAACAAGTTGGGTGGTCTTTAGTCCAGAGGACACAGTGTCCATGATTCCCAAAAGAAGTTCAAATGTTGATTTGTCAGACCACAGGACACTTTTTCACTTCACCTCAGTCCATTTTAAATCAGCTAAGGCACAGAGAAGGTGGCAGCCTTCCTGGATCCTCTTTATATGTTTTTTTTCTTTGCATTTTAGAGTTTCAACTTGTATTTCTGGATGTAGCAATGAACTGTTTTCCCAGACTGTGGTTTTCAGAAGTGTTCCTGAGCCCATGCAGTGATTTCCAATAAAGAATCATGTTTGTCCCATAGATCATGGCCAGCGAATACTGTTTTATGGCCTTGGCCCTTGCATACAGAGAATTCTCCAGATTTTAATGTTATTACATACTGGAGATGATGAAAAGCCAAAGATCTTTGCTATTTTACATTGAGAAATGTTATTCTTGAATTGTTGCCCTATTTGCCCATGCAGTTTTTCAGAGAGTGGTGAATCCCTCATCATATTTACTTCTGAAAGACTCAGCCTCACTGGGATGCTCTTTTATACCCAATCATGTTACTGACCTGTTGCCAATCAACAACCAAGTGTTTTTTTAGCATTACACAATTTTGCCAGCCTTTTGTCGCCCCCATCACAACATTTTTGGAACATGTTGTTGCCATCAAATTCAAAATGGTCATATATTAAAAAAAAAACAAAACAATGGGCATATTTTTTTTCATTTCTCAATTTAAACATCTGATATATTGTCTTTGTACTAGCGTCAATTAAATATAGGGTTGAAATGATTTGCACATCATTGCATTTTGTTTTTATTGACACTTTGCACAGCATCCCAACTTTTTTGGAAATTGGATTGTGGAAAATTCTAAAGGGTTCACAAACGTTTAAGCACCACTGTACATTAATGTGTGTATGAGAGAGAGAGAGAGAAGAGAGAGAATGTACATTTGTGTATGTGTGCATGAGAGAGAAAGATTATGTACATAAATGTGTGTGAAAGAGTATGTACAATTATGTGTCTGTGTAGGTTCTAAAGTTGTTGTGTTTTTGTAAGTTTTGTTTTTCATTTTCTCTTCATTTATGTGCTGAATTGATGTTCTTGTTTGTGGTTTCAGTGTTTCTCACAGATCATAATTTCTCTCTCAGGCTATGGGGTTGCGATCTCACAGAAAATAGCTGTGCAGTTCTGTCCTCAGCTCTCAGCTCAAACTCTTTAAGTCTGAGAGAACTCGACTTGGGTTACAATGAACTGCAGGATTCAGGAGTGAAGCTGCTCTCTGCTGGACTGAAGAATCCACACTATAAACTGGAGAAACTGAAGTAAGATCATCATTTTCACTTTGTGTGTGTTTTTCTTCTGTGTTTGTGTGTGAGATGATGTTTATCAATGTTAATAAACGTGAGTTTTTCTTCTGTCTACAGTCTGTCTAAGTGCCTCATTACAGAGGAAGGTTGTGCTGCTCTGGTTTCAGCTCTGAAATCAAACCCCTCACACCTGAGAGAGCTGAATCTGAACTTCAATAAACCAGGAGAGTCAGGAGTGAAGCTGCTCTCTGATCTACTGAAGGATCCACACTATAAACTGGAGAAACTACAGTGAGTTACTGAATTACTGTCTCTGTACACATATTCACTCAGTGGATGATCTACAACATTTTAGAGTTCAACCTCCTCCATAAACACACACAGACACACAGATTGTTGTGTGTGATGGATCTCGAGGTCTGTATGAGGAATGAATCAGTGTGTTTAATACAGATTGTGTGGGGTTGTGTTGTTTGGGGTGTTCAGTGAAGTGTTCTGATACAGGTTCTCTTCTCGTGTGTGTTTGTGTGTGTGTGTGTGTGTGTGTGTTCAAAAGACTGTTACCATTTCAGCCATGGCCTACACTTAGACTCCCTCTCTTTATAATCAGCTTGACCTGTAGGGGGCACACTCACAAAGAGAGAAATCAATACACACAACACTAAATCAACATTCTAGCTGAGGCTCCTACAGCTGTCTTCATGAGTGAGTCTATGAGAGAATCAGAGATGTTTATTGGTTTATTAGTGTTGATGAGGCTGTACTGTTTATCTAGTGATGGTGTTTATCCTGTGTCTGTGTGTGGAGTCTGAGTGCTGACTGTGATCAGTGTGTGTTCATGTCTGATCATTCTGTCCTGTTTCCTGTTTTACAGCATCTGAACAAACACCTGACCTGGTCTGAGTCTCACACACACTGGGGGTTATGAGGAGAGGATGAAGCCTTATAGAACACACACACACACACACACACACACAGTGTGTGGTTCTACATGGTAATGTGTGTGTTTTTGGGTCTTTATTGGTCAAATCTGTGAACACGGCTGCAGCACAGGGCTGTGTGCTCTCCCTTTGACATCACTTCCTCTTTACCAGTGACTGCACCTCCAGCGTCCTGTCCATCAAACTCCTCCCGTTTGAGGAGGAGCCCACATTGGTGATGAGAGCGTGTACAGGAGGAGGAGAAGAGCCTGGTGTTCTGATAACAACATGAGGTCGACACTCAAACCAGTGGAAATGTTGATAGACTTTAATAAACTCCCTCTAGAGATCAACTCTGGAGTCACAAGAGTGGAGGAGATCTTCAAGATCATGAAGACACCATCTCACACACACACACACAGATATGAGAGCACAGAGAGGCTCCTGAAGAGCAGCTGAATGAGCTGAAACTCTGCTGCTTCCTGTGTTATATTAGTGTGAAGTTTCTGAGATCAGGATTTTGTTTCATGATGTTTTTACTACATTTAAACAGTCAGTGCTCACCATGCTGGGTCATCATGTGTGTCAGTTCCTTCTGTGGCTGTATAGAAGTTTCTAAACACCTGCTTTAAAAATGTACATAA